GATTCTATTGACCGCCAGAAATTGTATAATATTCTAATCGAGCAGAGGATTCCCCCCCCAAAAAAAACAACTAGTAAATCTAGTCAGGATATGCTTGACGGAAACACTCAATAAAGTTAGAATCGGTAATAATCAGTCCGAAAAGTTTGAGAACGATAATGAAACATCGTCAAAAATTAAATAATTACTATCTATTTAATTTAGTATTTATTTGACCGCAACCCCCGATTAACTCCTTCTCACGGTAATATTACTGGTGAAATCGATACAGATGACAATATGTTTGAACAGGTAGAGAAGTTTAGGATTCTTGGGCCTAGAAAAAACGAAATTGGAGAAGAGATTAACGTTAGACTGAAGACGGCAAATGCTTGTTATTTTTCTGTGACAAAATTACTTAGCTCGCGTCTCTTGTCCCGCAACTTAAAAATTAGAATTTATAAAACCATTGTCTTACATACAGTTGTTTTTGGTTGCGAAATGTGGCCGCTTACATTAAGCGATGAGCAACGTCTTAAAGTTTTTGAAAATAAAGTATTGCGTAGAATATTCGGACTGAAGAAGGATGAATTAACCGGGGAATTCAGACGGTTACACAACGCCGAATTGCGTGAACTATATCCGGGTAATATAATTGAGCTGATTTCATCCCGGCGAATCGAATGGGCCTGTAAAATTGTTGGGCTTAGTAACGAGAGAATTCCTAAAAGGTTAATAGTTGCTGTACCGAATGGTAAACGTCCGAGGGGTAGGCCGAAATGAAGGTGGGAAGATTGCATTAAAGCCGATCTGAAGGGACTAGGTTTGGCCGGCGAACGATGAAGGGAGGTGTGTAATAAGCGATTGGTGGTGTCTGCATCTAACCTTCGAGTTCGCTAAGCCTTTCATTATTATTATTATAGTAAATGAGCACCAAGTAAAAATAACTAACGTACATCAAAATATAACGAAATAAAGATTTATATATTTCATCTTGGTAAAAATTAAAACATTCATAACAAAAATAGTAAGAAATTAAATAAATTGAGCAACTTTAATAGTAATCTTTTAGTTTTGAAAAGAGGATGGAATGATTGATGAAGTCAAAGGCTTTGGAGAACTCAAGGAGGACAAGAACAGTTTTCCCCCTTACAGCAGCCTGGACATCACTGATAATTTTAATTAGGGCTGATTGCGTGGAATATCCGGGGTGGATAACTAATTGGTGGGGATCGAGTTGGTTGGATTCTTCAAGTTGGAGATTTGGGATTGCACTATTCTTTCCAGAGATTTTGAGAGGTTGGAAAGGATTAAGATTGGACGAAAATCTTCGGATGAAGATGGATTAGACTTTTTATTTAAAGTAAGGACAATGTTATGTTTTTTTCCAAGAGGAAGGAAATATTGAATTCTGAAGGGAGAAATTGTAGATGTAAAGGACGACTAGGTGGATTTCAGGAAGACATAATTTCATTAATTTGACAGGAATGCCATCTGGACCTATGGAATCGGTAAGGGATTTCATTACAGCGGATAAACGGTCTGTGGGAGAAATGTAGGAAAAGTAAAAGTCATCATCGTTAAATGATCTCCAACAGGAGGGAGAAGGTCGGGAAGAGGTAGAGGCAGCATATATAAAATGTGAGTTTAAAGTCTCAGGTGATACTGGAAAGGTACTAGCTAGGTAGGGGATTTAGAGTGTTCACAAAGGGAAAGTTTGCGAAGGAGTGACCATTTAGTTTGGATATATCGAACTGTTGAAAGGGCTTCATGGAAGTGTCGAGGTATTGTATACTAACAGTTGCTAACAGTTACCAGAAGGCCTCGACATTGCATGTTCAGTATAGAGGGTTAAGATGATTAAGTGGAAGTAGGAAGATGTATAGAAGGATGATCTCGAGTGTAAGGCGAATCAGCACCTTAAGGGATCAACCTTAACACTCTGCGAGAATGGTAACCACAACCAGAGAGATCAATCTCCATACTTGTGGGAGGATGAAATACTAACGGAGGGATCCATCTCCTGCCTTAGTATATAGGAATACAAACGGGCGGATCAGCGTCCAAACTTGCATGGAGTAAGGGAAGAGGATAAAAGGTTTATGGACAAAGTGAAGTAAAATGCAGTTTGTTGAAGACCAAAAGGCGTATATGTATCATATACTGACCATCTGCATAAAGGTCTACACCCTGAAGATCTGACAATTTGAGACAGGACTGCGGTATTCATTCCGCCAAGACTAAATCGGCTTTCAAGAGCCGTTACAATTACAGTTATTTTTAAGCTTTGATCAGTATATGTAATCGCCATTAAACTTTATTAATAAAAAGTGTTTACAATTAATATTCATATTCCAATTTACAATTTGAGTATTTTATTAAACAACAATAATAAATGAAAATACATTTTTAAGGTACATTGCACAGGCGAGCTTGTATGGCGCTGCTAAGTAGCGGGTTGGTGAACCAGTTGTTCCCTGTAGCAAGAGGAGGAAATCTGTTACCGTTACAGAAGTAAGAGGACTTTGCTCGTCGGATTCTGGATTGAATCAAGTTGCGCAGCACCCTAAACGCTTGGAAGTCATCTGCAAGTCTAGTGCGTCTAAAGCGTCTGCGGGCAGTATCGCTTCTCTTCTGCAGATCTTTAATTTCTTGACACACCCAAGGTGCAGGCCGACGACGAAAGGTAGAGGTTTTTATAGGGGCATGGATATAAAGGATACTGAGAAGATTGGAAGTAAGAATATCAACCATGAAGTTAACGAAAGAGCAGGAGTATATTCCAGTCCAGTCTAAGGATTCAAGATCAGGTATCATGTTTTCACGGGTGAGATTCTTCAAATGGCGGAAAGTAATGGTTCTTGACTAAATCAGGGGAGTTTGGATATTACAGGATAGTTGAATCAGGCCGAGAGATGATAGAAAGGTCTGTCTAATGATGGAAAGGATTGTCTAACCAGGTATCGGACCTACAGGTGTGGTGAGTGGGGAAAAAGGGGACGATGAAGAGGCAAAGCGAGAAAAATAGGTTTTCCAGATAGGACTTATGTTTTGTATCTGTGAGGAGATTGGTATTTAGGTCACGGGAAATAATTATTCTATGGTAGAGGAGAACGAAGTTGAACAGGGTTGGTTTCAGAGATGGGCAAATGCTACTCTGAGTAACGAGTACCAAGTATTTTACTCAAATTAAATCACTATCGGGAATTTAATCACTACTTCAGTTAATCGTTTGACATCAACTGAAATAGTAATTAAATTGTTTGGTACTCAAAAAAGGTCAGTATTTGAGTAAAATACTTGGTACTCTGAGTAGTATTTGCCCATCTCTGGTTGATTCAAAGGGAGGATCAAAAGGGACAAGAGGAGGATGGTATATTACGGTATTAAGGAATGTAGAAGTATAGCAGGAAATTTCGACGGGAGGTACTCAACTTGGGAATGATTGGAGGGTGGGGGGTAATCTAGGATCCAGGTCTTCAGGCTATCATCGACAAAGATAGCTTTGCCACTGCCAGTCCGGTTGACCCGGTTGTGGTGGAGAAGGTTGTAGCTTAGGAGGGAGACAGAAGAGGACGGAATGTAAGGTTTGACCCTAAAGACCAGGCTTCGGATATCGTCACTAGCGGATCCAGGATTTAATTTTTTGGGGGGGGGCTTCAGCCCGAAAGCTTTTTTTTTCATAAAAATGACGATAATTACTTTGGAAAAAAAGAAAGAAACTAACTATCTATATGGTGTTCAAGTGATTCCTTAAGTCATGTTAAATGTAATTAAACGAACAATGATACTTTAACAGATCATTTTTTAATATATTTTTCCATAAAACATGGTTATATTTTACCATTTTTGGGGGGGCCTTCAGACCGAAAGCCCCCCCCTCGTAGATCCGGCCGTGGATATCGTGATAATATGATAAAAGTTTTGTGTGAAGTACTACAGGAATTCTTCGTTATGAGAAGTGCTTAAACAGTTATCAAGAACTTTTCTGTTAACTCCTTATTGTTTGCACTACAAATATTTTTAATTCTCTTAGTGTTTAAAATCCCATATAACTGACGGTCCTTCTACTCTAGCTGGTGATGGTTGTTTTCATGCATATTCATGATGATACAATTATATATATCAAAATATCAGTTGGGCACAAATCTTTATATTTTTTTTAGGTATATCCTATCTTTGGTGGAGCGGCTAAAGGTTATATTTGTAATTTAAATATTAGATACAAGACATGGAAAAAATTTCAACCGGTCTTAAACGATATTAATTGTTTTAATAATATATTTATTTTTGAATATTTAATAGTTGACCGTAGCATTTATAAAGGAAGGAGATGGCCCGGGGTGGTGGTCATAAATAGGCTAAATGGTGGTAAAACTATTTTTATTAAAAGCCTGCTTTTAATAAAATATTTTTATAAAATAGTTAAAAAGGCTTTTAATAAAAATAGTTTTACCACTATTAAGCCTATTTATGACCTCCATCCCAGACCATCTCTCTCCTTCCTTTATATTTATTTTTGTATTTTCTCAATGGAATTTAATAAACCCTCTCATTTGCACATCCCATTGTATCAAAATGGTTGATAGTATGCTGCACTTTTTGAAATTACTATTTCACTGAATACACTTGAGGCCAAACGAAGTCAGATGACATCATTTTGTTCCATCGTCTCCCGGTCTATAAAGCCCATTATTAGAAGGAACGAACGGTAACATGTTGATATTTCTGTGTAGAATCACTTATATAAAATTATAAAATAAATATAAAATTGTATTCGAAATCGGCTACAGACACATTCTGCACTACTCTAGTCAGTAACTAACTATAAGTTAATAAAAATTTAATTATGCGATGGATGTTATGATATTTTTAAAAATTTCCGTTAAAAAATATCCTGATTTGAAGAAAGGTATAAAGTAATGAGCAATAAACAATTATTTGACAATTGCAATACATCACTATAAATTGGTAACATTGATTCTACAAGAACAAAACAAAACGGTAGGTTTTCAAAGGTGGCGCGTTTGGAGCCAGTTCGATGGGGTATTGATTTTTCCAATTCTCGTTCTTGTAGCCTGTCATTAGTTGCGGAATCCACCGGTTTAGTTGTGGTTATTTCTTTTTGGAGATTTAAAAGTGCTTGGTGCAAGGGATGGACGAGACGCGAGACCACAGGCTGCACTTGGCCCAAGAGATGCGAGCACAGAACTTCGACTTGATTAGATTTGCCAGCTATAGAACTGCCTGCAAGTTGAGGTTTATACAGAAAAAATTAAATCGTGAGTATTGTCTGCTAAATATTTGGATAGTTTTGGTGAACATTCAATTACGAATCAACTGATTTCACTAATGTAACTACATATATTCTTTAAAAGACTTTTCTGTTGAAGTAAACGGTTTGTGTATATCCTATTTGCCTTTGAGTACATAAAATTCATCACACATGATTTGTTTATTTAATCAATGTATTGGCAGTGAAGATTGGTTTTATTTTTTTAAAACTTATCTAGAATTTGTTTTGCTGTTCTTAACTTGGGTTAACTTCATGTAATCTTGTTTAGATTTAGCTGAACCATTATGCTGTCCATGTTAGAGATCATTTATCTCATTTCTTTGGTAATCTACCGTAGTTTAACTATGTAGTAAAAAAAATGTAAACAAGCTTTCTGTGCATCTTGCCTAATTTCGAAATATAGAATGGGGAACAGGATAGCCCAATGGGTTAGGTACTAACATCCGAATACCAAGGTCCTAGGTTCAAATCCAACTGATGACAGGTAATTATTTTTCTGTTTCATTGGCTGTGTATCGACCCTCCAGGGGCACATCCAGCCTCTATAAAGTGGGTATCCTGAAGTAATTCATTAATTGAGGAGAAAACCTGGTGATAAAGCGTGATTTGGTCAAATCACCTCATTTTCCAATCTTTGTTTGACCAAGAAACAGTTCTTCCTTACATGGTAGTGAACCCAAGACCCTTCATGGGTTATAGCGGTACAGGTTTTTTTTTTTTGTAGAACATTTTAAAATATTCAACTAATTTATAAGTATTGCCCAAATTTGATTAGCTGTCACAACATATTATGATCGTACTATAAATGGAATTCTGAGAATGACCTAGTTTGTCCAAAAGTAGATGGAAGTTACCAAACTGTCTGGTTAGGCCCCTACTTCATCTAGAAGTACCTGCTTGGAATTTGTTCCGATTTCCTCAATGGTAGCAATTTCAGTTTGATAGAAGTTTATCTGGTCTAAAAGTATTCTCAATCCTCAGAATCCATTCAGGCTACAATAGTATACAATACAATAGAATTGATACATTCCATGATCCAAGATTAAAATCAGTCAAGCAGTTGCTGGTATAATTTCTTTTCCATGAAGAATATATTTAACAAAGAATATTGGTATTTAACACGGAGTTGGTGACTGAGGTCCTCAGGATTTGATCTGGCCTGCATGGGCACTATTACTCACCACTAAGAGGTATGATTTGGAGTCTTTGACCCATAGGAGACTTGTCTTCACTTGTTAAGTTGTTTTCTTCCTAACCTAGTAAACTTAAGAAGGGGCTCTTACATGGTAACACCAGGTGGACTAATTTGTTTAGAAATGTTGCTCCTCTATCCTTCTTTCCTGTAAAGGAGTCCATAAGTTTGGTTTTGGACAGGCTCGGGGTCTCAATACTGAGTATACCGCAAGTTTTGTTGTAAACCTCTTATAATTTTACTAAAAAGTCATTTATGAATTTTCCCTCAATGTGGCCCGCAGGCCAAAAGGTTTGGAGGGCCCTGTTCGAAACTATTTTAAATATAATAAATTATGATTATTACTTAAAAGTATATGTTACAAATAATTAATTTTCAATAAATAACTGTTAAATCATTATACAGAGTTAAGTGGCCAAACTGCAAAAATGAACTAAGGACCTCAAAACAAGAAAAAGATTTCCTCTGAAGGTATGTCCGCATACGCTTTGTTTAGGAGATATTCACATCTAAAGATTTTCGTTGTTATGAATAATTTACGTTATATTAAATAAATAAAACCTATTTATTTGTTTTAACTACTTTATTAATTAAATTTCAACATTAACATTCATATTAAATGTTGTTCAAAGGGATTTCCTTGAGCGTTAAGACAGGCTCGCCATCTTTCTACGACAGCAGCAATGGCAGAATGGCACTGGATATGTGTTATTGTTTCACAAGATTAAATTATCCTTCTTTGCAAGGAATTAAGGTCATTGACCGGACTTGCATAGACTTTTTGTTTAATGTCACCCAAAACCAAAAAGTCCAGTGGTGTCAGGTCTGAAGAGAGTGCAGGCCAAGCCACTGGTCATGCACAGCCAATCCATTGATTGGAATATGAGATATGATTGAGCAAGTCCGGTCAATGGCCTTAATTCCTTACGAAGAAGGATAATTGTAGCTTGTGAAACAGTAACATATTTCCAGTGCCGTTCTGCCACTGAAGAAAGATGCTGAGCCTGTCTTAATGCTCAAGGAAATCCCTTTGAACAACATTTAATATGAATGATAATGTTAAAATTTAATTAATTAAGTAGTTGAAACAAATAAATATTTTTTATTTATTTCATATGACGTAAATAATTTATAACAATGAAAATCTTTTGGTGTGAATATCTCCTAAACAAAGCGTTTGTGGACATACCTTCAGAGGAAATCTTTTTCTTGTTTTGAGGTCCTTAGTTCATTTTTGCAGTTTGGCCACAACCCAGAAATACAATCTATATATATATATATATATATAAATAAATAACATAATATACACATATAATTATCCTTAAATACATGCATGCATGTCTTTGTGGTGGAATGTCTAGTAATACATTATTGCTTGTACTTTTCTACAGTTCACCTTGTTGACATTTGGAATGTGATAGAAGCATTCAGAGAACATTCTTTGAATACTCTACAAATTGAGACAGAGCTGAGCATTTCAAGATGTGAAAGCCTTGTTTCTTCACTTTATGAGAACTTAAATAAGAGATTGCCTCCTTCTCACCAAGTTATCATTGATCAGAACTCATCTGCTCTTCTGAATTGGTTGATTTCAGCTTATTCTTTGTAAGTAAAACTATAAATAACAATCTGTTTTTATCTGGTTTAGCAAAAATTAGATGTAGTTTAAATTTGTCATATAAAAATTGTTACATTGTGGTTTAATCATTATTGATAAGGTAAATTATAATTTATTTACTTAATTTATAACCAGTCACAGTTACATTATCCTGTTTATTTTTTATAAAAATTAAAATTAGTATTTAAGTATGCTTTTCATGGAGCTTAACTTTTAAGTACATATTAATAAATTTCAATCATATATATCAATTCAACAAACTCATTAAGTGCATAAAAAGGCACCAACCCTATTATATGTTTGTGGAGGCAGCGGGCGTTCAAAATTTAAACAGCCAAGTCTGCACAACCTAATCCATAGGCATTGTAGCCTTATTAATTAATTAATTTTAAAATGTTAAAATCATGAAATCCATGAGGATAAATATGTTTCTAAATGAAATGGCAAATAGCAGTAATTCTATATATTGAGAGAAATATAATAAACGGATTAAACATGCTATAAAATAAATGAATGAATTAACATTAATAATATTTCTTCTGATGCAAATTAAAATATTACTATTGTAATATGATACAAATAAATTTAATTAGTACGTCTAAAGCGTCTACGAGCAGCGTCGCACCTTTTCTGCAGGTCTTTAATTTCCTGACACATCCAAGGAGCAGGCCGTTGATGAAATGTAGAGGTTTTGAGAGAGGCATGGGTATTGAGAATATTGAGGAGATTGGTAGTAAGAATATCAACCATAGAGTCGAAGAGCAAGAATATATTCCATTCCAATCTAGGATTTTCAGGTCAGGTAATATTTGTTCTCGTGTAAGGGAATCTAGAAGGTGGAAGGTGATAGTTCGAGGATGGATAGGAGGAGTTTAAATATTATATGTTATTTGTATCAGATCGTGAGATGACAAAAAGGATACTGGCAGTTGGGAAGAGGAGAGGAGGTTTTGTGCAGATTCTATAATGTAGAAATCTAGCCAAATGTCGGATCTGCTATTATGGTGAGTGGGAGAAAAAGGAGCGATAAAGAGGTGAAGGGAGAAGAATAGGTCTTCTAGATATAATTTGTCATTGGAGTTAGATAGGAAATTGGTATTGAGGTCACCAGAGATGATTATTCTGGGATAGAGGGGTACGAAATTCAATAAGGTAGATTCAAAGGACGTGTGAAATGGAACAAGAGGAGGATGATATAACACAGTGTACAGGAGAGGAGAAGTATTACAGAGGATTTCAAGTAATAGATACTCAATTTGTGAGTGGTTGGAAGATGGGGATAAATCGAGGATTCAGGTCTTCAGACTATTGTGGAAAAATATGGCTACTCCACCGCCAGCCCGGCTTACCCGGTCATGACAGAAGAGGGTGTAATTAGGCAAGGAGACAGAAGAGGAGGGGATATAAGGTTTAAGCCACGTTTCGGAGATTGCTATAATATGGTAAAAATTTTGAGTGAAATATTGCAGGAATTCGTCATAGTGGGCAGGGAGGGATTGAGAGTTCACATGGCAGGTGATTAGGGTACTAGACATGAGAAGGATTTGGAGGGAAACAGTCAGAGTTTGGCAGAGAAACACTAAAACAAATAGAAAATACAGAAAAGCTGTTACAATTAATAAAAATGAGAAAAAAGAAAGTGTTTACAGAAACAAAAAATAAAAACCATATAGGTTATAATACGTAGTTTAATATGTGAAAGTGAAGAAATACGACTAAAAGCAAAAATCTTTCTTTGAAAGAAATTTTGACAGTAGTTATTTTGATAAGGATATGGGGTAGACGGATTCTGTGAAGTCAGGTAAATATATCGAGGTCTGAGGCCTGTTCGATCAAGATAATCTTATGTCCGTCCTCTTTCCGACATCGCACCTCTCTAGCGGCAAACCAGGTATATTTGATTTTCTCCACTGCTTTCTTCTGTCGGGCAAGCCTGTATAAGTGCCTGTTTGTGTGAGTCCCAGATATATGGTGGCAGTCATTATCCCGCCTGGAGAAATCTCTCTTGACTTTTCTTTTCGATATTAAATCGTCTCTGACTGATAAATCGCTATAAACAAATCGTGCGATGACAGGCAGCGGTCGCGGGTCATTTTTCCTGCTTCTGCGGCGATGCACTATGTCCAGGTCTTCTGCAATAAGCCTGACTCCCAAGCTGGCTCCTATACTGGTCACCAAAGCGGCGGGCATTTCACCAGTTCGTTCCGGTATCCCTCGGATCTCCAGTGATCTGAATAACAGGCCCTGCTCTGCATTATTCAGGCGAACTTTTAGTTCGCCCACTCGGGATTTGGGGGCTTTATTTTCCAGAATAATTTCTTCGAATTTACTGGCTTGATTTTCAAGGTATTTTTCAATTTTTGATAATGTTTCATTAACCTTGAAACTGAACTCCTCATATTTATCAATGGCTGTTTTTATGTTTTTTTAAATCTTCGTTCATGCTTGAGTCTAGCCGATTTACTGCCGCCAGTATTTCTGAGGCAGACAGCTGTGTTGGATTTTTTGGCCTAGTCGCAATCAGGGCATACCCATGTTTTTTTTGTGCACTTTTAGGGCTTTGATGTCTTTATCAGTTAAGTTGAAACACCTACCATGAAAAATAATTTTACATTTTGTCAGACTGAGAGTCAGACTGATCTTGGTGGAGGCAACTTGGTGTCAGGCTGTGGAGAGCTGCTGTAGGTGTCAGGCTGTGGAGAGCTGCTGTAGGTGTCAGGCTGTGGAGAGCTGCTGTAGGAGATTGAGCAGGGTGGCATAAAATCGTAAATGAGTCCCAGGTCCCACCAGTAGCGCTGCAGAAGGAGATGATTCCTGTCCCTTTTTCCTTCTTATTTTATCAAAGACCTGAAATTGGGGCTATCTCCCCTTATTAAGGAGATCATCAATTGCCAGTATTTTACCTTACTCATTCTTGATATTTAGGCAAAGATTACATTGCTGTGTTTATGTAATGAAAAACCACTCCAGATAAGAAAATTTTGAGACTATGTACTAAAGTTGCTGCTTCTCTAATCTTAATTTTATTCTCAGTCCATATGTTACCCTCACTTCTGTCCATATTGACTTTTCTCAATATTTTTTCCTACTCATTTAAGTAGGATTTTCAGTTAACTGATTTTCAGGTTTGAGAAGTTGGTACTTGTATTTTTTGTATGTAGTTTACTTAACAGTAAACCAAACCACATTTCTTCTCTTTCTCTCTTCAGTTTTTCTATTACCGTTCTGTTTCTCCCCCTCTAATATTCAAAGAAGAGCAATCAACATTTTAACTGTATTTATGATTAATTGAAACACTTTTTATCAATTTTTTGTAAATCTTAATTATCATTTTTATTTATTGGTATCATTAATTGATATTAATGGATTCTAGGGAAAACACTGGACGGATAAGAGTTTTTTCTATCAAAGTTGCATTGGCTACAATGTGTGCCGGAAAACTGATGGATAAACTTAGATGTAAGTATAAGTTTGTTGAACCATTTTTCAACATTAGTGTTAAATTTTTTATATTTTTTTAATTTATCATTTGTGTTAAATTAATTTTTATGAATTTATGTATTTTTTTTCTATATCGCCATTTCAATTGCAAGTAATCTTATTTAATATTATTCAATTTCCTATAAAGAGCATTCTGACCATTTTGTTTCTTATATCCCTATTCTCCGATACATTATTACCTATTATGAGATTTCTATTTAAAATTACTCTTTTATGACAAGTGAAACCATGAAAAGAAAAATCACTGGTTTATTGCAAAAAGGCACTAAGTATATTTTTGATGAAGCTAAATTTTCAAATACATTTTTGTGACTTCTGATATTTTTGATCTGATAATTTTTGTGAACACATAACATGCATCAAAATGATCCAAATCATTTTATATAACAATGAAAGTTACAATAAGTGCACGATGTTCTGATTTCACAAACGGAAAATTCATCAAAGTTCTTAATGATTTAAGTTCATGAAATGTTACTTAAATCATTAAAACTTTTGCTATTAACTGACAAAATTCTCTTTTTCATTAACGGTTCAAATTGCTCATTAGAATTCACATGCTTGTTGGGTCAGAACGAAACCGAGGAGCATGTAAACATATATCATAATGCATAGTCTGGGATATAGCATACAAATTTTCAATTTCATATACGTATTGTGTATGGTTTTTATAAATTGGTTGCTTGACTAATTAAGAAAAAAACAATTTTTATATATATATATATATATATATATATATAATAAAGGGGGAAAAAATTCTTTACTTAAAAAGATAATAAAATCTATAGTGGGGGCCATTTAAATGACCACCAGGTCTCACCGGAATTCATCTAATCTCTGCGGTTTTAACTAGGTGCTGTTGCTCGGATCTGTTTAGCTTTATTTCAAGCACCGACACTCGTGATTTTAGAGTCGAATTCTCCAAAACCAAGCCATCTAATTTCGAGTTTTGAGCTTCTAGGAGCAATTCTATGGCTTTTAATTGCTCCGAGTTTTTGAAAATGATAGATGCCTGGGTTTTTATTGATGATTTCAAATCCTTCAGGTCGGAGGCATTAGCTTCAACGGAACTTCTCAGGAACTTCATGTTGTAAGCTCTTTGATTGCAGAGAGCAGCAACTGCAATGTAGCATCCCCAGTGGTATGCTGTGAGCTTGTGCCTCTTTCAATAGGCGAACTATTTCCTTGGGGCTTTTCACAATTGGGTCATTTCAAAGTCATTTCTTTTTTTAGGGATCCAATGTCTTTTATTTCAACATTCAAACATTTCCCGTGATAAATCGCTTGACAGTTGGGAGTGGAACAAATTAACTTTTTTTTTATCTTCCCTTGACACGATCTGCTTGCATAAGGGGCAATTGATTATTTTATTTGTTTTTTAGACAAATATTCGAGAGAAAAGCGACAAGAAAAAAATAAAAACGTGCTACCTCGTTTTGGAATTCCCTACGAACCTCTTTAGAAAAGTCCTCATCCTTGACCTCATTTAAACATAATTTATTTTTCCATCTCCTCAGTAATCAATCTTCCGAATATATGTAAAATAAAGTTATTTTGTACTTTAAAGATGTCAGTTACACTATACCGATATCTTGCAGATATTTATGTATGTGTCATATTGCTTATTTGTACAAATACATGAACTCTTCCTTATGTAATCATCTTTAAATTCATATGTCTACTTCAAGATCATATGTTTACTACAGTGTCATTATTTCTAATATTAAGAATTTTTAATATTATGAAAAATTTACATTTTTCTTTATTTTAATATTAAGGTTAGACAACTTTGTAAATTAATTTATTTTTAATTGTAATTTAATTATTCACAATCGACAGACAGACTTCATTTCTTTGTTCATTGTAGTTATTCTGAGGGGCTAAATGTCCCAGAATAAAATTTACTTTCTTTCTTTCTGGGATTCTGGTAGGGATAGATTATGAAGTATTTTCCATTTGGATTTGGAGTCGTTAGCATTGGAAAGAGCATTATGGAAGTAGGTGGCTTCAACACATTGGACTGCGGATTATGTTTCATTGTGAAGTTACTTGAAAACGCATAATCCACAAGTTTACACAGAGTTACTGCGTCTCTTCTTATTATCATTTTCTTTATTTCACTGATCAGTCAAGGTGCAGTGGGACGACTTAAGGTTCTTTTTTTCAGAACTGTTTAGTGTAAATAGTTTTAGTTTTTCTGATCGTCAGCATCCATTGCCCTGACATAAAATCATTTTAATTTCATCCTAATTTATGTATCAAGAATCTTTTTTTTTTTATTTTTATTTTGTTATTTTAAATTTGCCACTGCGTTGGAACGCATCAAGCAAATGTGTTGGCGTTAATTATATCTTCTTGAATTCCTGATATCTTCTTAACTTTTCAACAGATCTCTAGGCCACTGCCTTTTTAGTCGTCTTTGAGGCTCACCAGGTAACAGGGAGGAAGATAAAGATAGAACGAGTGGATTTGGATGATTGAGAGTAGAAGTGTGAAACGTGTATGTAGGATTTTACTTTTGGTATGTTCATGTCTTTGTGTATGGTGTGATTTGAAATAAACCAAGGAGCATTGACAATTTTACGGAGTATTTTGTATCCAATTATTTTTTTTTTTTTTATTTAACAAACTTTTATTTGTTTTGATACTATAAATTTATTTCATGTCGTTTATCATCAAATGATAGTGATGTTCTTTACTAGGGATATTACAAGAATTTCTTATTCTAGATGTCACTCAATGCATCTATTGTTGTTTATTACTAATATTTGTTTTTTATATATAATCAAATTCTTATGTATAGTTATGTTAACAAATGGTTATCTTCTTCTCATGATGTATTTGTATGTTATTATTTATTTGTATTTTATATATTATTTAGCTGTATTTACATACTTAGCTTTATTTTTTCTTAGTGGAAATTCAGAGCTTAGTTATAAGAAGAATTAATTTATTTATTTTTATTTTGGAAGGAGATGGTCCGGGGTAGCGGTCATAAATAGGCTGAATAGTGGCAAAACTATTTTATTAAAAGTCAACGTTTCGACCCGACTTTGCAAGTCTTCTTCAAGTAGATGTGTTCTGTTAGGAGTTTCACTTAGAACTGATTAGAGCAGCCTATTTATGACCGCCACCCCGGACCATCTCCTTCCTTTATAATGCTACGGTCAACTATTAAATATTCAATATTAATTTTATTTTATTCTTAGTACTGTATATTTATACTGTTTTATCATTCTATATATTTTTAAGTGTTTTGTATATAGTTGTAAGTGTTTTGTTTTGTATATAGCATGTTTATATAATGTTTTGTTTTCTTATATTTTTTTTATTGTTTCAAACATTAGGCTAGGCTAGAAATAATCTTTTATTTTTGTACAATCTTGTTATTCTCAAGGGACTTAGTCCCTGAATAAAGTTATTTTCTATCTATCTATATATGTGAGGTGTGTTGTCATAAATTATTTTCAAGTTACTCAATTTGTTGTTGGAATCAAGAGCAAATAAATTCAAACACTTAGCTACAACAGTTTGGTGATGAGGATGGGATCCAGCATCAATATCTCCTGGATCCGAAATAGCTTCATTTGGTGAATCTGCTGCATTTGCATCTAAATTCTGTTGATCCAGCTTGTCGCCTTTATCCATTTCTATTCCTCTTTTTTCAAATCCAGTGATATATCAAACTTAAAAGATGGATAGGCATGAATAAAGGCGACAAGTTGAAATGTTATTCATAGCATGTGGGTCATGCTCTGCAGTAAAAAACAGTCCACCGAAAGCATCTCTTCATCTGTGGGATACTCCTGATGGGAACTGGCAACTACGTGTCCACAGACTATGCTGGTCCGTTCCAAGGTTGCTACTTATTGTTTGTAATTGATACTAAATTGAACTGGGTTGAAATCAAGCAAGTGAAATCAGCACCCACATCACTATAAACTATTGGATGTTTAAAATACATTTTTGCCTATTTTGTGTTCCCCAAAGTCCTTGTCTCAGAGAACGCAGCAATTTTTACAAGTGGATGATTCAAAGAGTTCTGCAAGGTTATAGTGCTACAGGTTTTATATAAGTAGTTTCAACTTTGAGAGTTGAGTGATTAAAAAATACAGGATCTCAAAAGTTGACAATAGCCTAATCTAATTTATTTTTTATTCTCTCATATCTAACCCACGGTTATTATTTAATTTTGGATTTTTGTTTTGTTTGTTATTAAACCTTTATTTATAACCCTACCAAATAATATATAATATGATCCTTTATTAATTAATTTTTACTACTCCATATCAATTTCACTTATTGTTTTGAATATATTTTTGATTTCAGATGTTTTTTCACAAATATGTGATGAAAATGGATATTTGGTCATATCGAAGTTTTCTCTTTACTTAAGAACTGTTTTGTCACTCCCTGCTTGTGTCTATGAAACTCCATCATTCCCATACACAGAAGAGTTGTCTTCAACAATGTTTTCAGGGGTGAGGTTGTGTAAAGTATTACTATAACTCATATGTTAAATAAATATATTTTTGTTGTGTTTACTCTTCTATGTGTCTTTGTTGTGTTCGGTGTCTCTATCCTGGGCCTTCATCTTAATCTCACCCAGGGTCGACTCCCGCTCTCGTCCGAGTCTATCCATATAACTATTATATGTGATTCTTGGTCATCCAACCGGTCGCCGCCTCCCCACCTAGCTGACATCACTCGTGAGGCATTCTTGTCCAAGAGTACCCTGCTCCAGACCGGGAGGAAGACAGATTTAAAGATGCGGAACTTCGCCTCTTTGCTCACCTCTTACTCACCCACCAGTGTTCTGGAAATTTAGAAGAAGACCTGGTTAGCTTAACGCACTCAATGCATAACTTCTTGGTCCATCTTCCCATCCTGACTGAAGACAGTTCCCAGATATTCATAAATATCAACTTGCTCCAGTTGGTGTCCTTCACACACAATCCTGAGCTCCGCCTCCTCCTGTCTTACCTGCGCAATCTTGCCTTACCTGGGTTGATGGCGAGTCCTCTTCTCTTAAGCTCCTCGGACCACTCCTCCACTGCAATTGCAGAGAATCCTCATTGTCTGCTCCCACCACAATGTCGTCTGTATAAACGAAGCACTGGACCTGGACGGGCAGCCTATTCCAATATCCAATGATTGCTCTGGGTGTTCTTCGCTTGTATACCTTCAACACCTCGTCCATGATAATGTTAAACAGAAGTGGACTGAGGCATCTCCTTGCTTGACTCCTTTATAGAATCTGAATGGAGCCGACTTCATTCCATTCAATCTAACCACGCCTTTTGGATCCTCTTCTCCTGTAAGGCAGTCCAAATTTCCTGTCTGGGGACCGAATCAAAGGCCGCTCTAAGGTCCAAAAAGGCAAGGTAAACATTTTGTCCTCGGTCCAATGCTTTCTCCGTAAGCATCCTGAGAGAGAGGATATGATCCTGGGTTTGACTTGAAGGCCGGAAAGCAGCTTGTTCTTCTTCCATATTAGGTTTGACATATGCTCTCAGCTGCTGCTCCAGAATTCTTGTTTACACCTTATACACCACCAGAGGCATATGGGTCTGTAGTTTTCACTTAGGGTCTGGCCTCCCTTCTTGTATACAGGTATAATTAAATTTTCTTCCCATTCCTCAGGTATGGTCCCATAGTTCCATGTCCTCTGAAAATTGAGCTAGGAGAAGGAAGATTAAGATGCGAAAAAGACTGGCAGGAATCAAATGGGGTGCTCACAAAGAATCATTGGCCCTGGCTTACAAGTCATACTTAAGAGAAGTAATGGAGTATGGAAGTGAGGTCTGATTGACTGCATCAAAAAACTCTCTGTATGCCTTGGATGTGGTGAAAAACAAGGCTTTGAAACTGATTACATGGGTGGCAAAATCCAGACCAACTGCAGCTCTCCAGGTTCAATAGAACCAATTCAAACAAAAAGAGAAGTGTCTGCTATCAGTCTAATAAGAGAATACTAAGACTTGGTTTGAAGTACTATGATGCTCAAGAAACATCTGTCCAGTGCCACAAGTTGCAAAAACCAATAACTGTAAAAGTTAAAGAACTGTTGGAAGGAAAAGACATAGATCTAGGCATGAGTCTGCTAAATAATAGATGTAAAGACTAGCCAAGATTTGTTGCTGAGGCATGACTAGATCTTATGCACGCTGTAAGTAAGTACCTAGTACCTGAATGGAATTAAAAGCGCTTGCTCTGGAAACAATAAATTGCCGTTGCTGCCATCCCTGCTGGTAATCGGAGAGCAAATATCCATGGGAAAGTCTAAGCCATTTTGGCAGCATTGGCTAGAATAGGGAAGAAATTCAGCTATCCCCAGATTGTGTTCTTTGTTGATTTACAAGCCACCATACGGGTGGCCATTTGCAGTGGCTTGGATCATCCTGATGTCACAGAAGCTAGAGTTCAGATTGATAATTTAATTAAAAAAGAAATTTGAGTGACATTCCAATGGGTTCCAAGCTGTACCAGCAAACGAAAAAGCTGATAAGCTTGCACGGATCACCTCGGAAATGCTGCAAACTAATCCTTTGCTGACCTACGAATCTGCTAAAATTATTTTAAAATCCTTTTACAAGGAAGAGGTACAGAATTTGCAAAAACAACAAGTAGCAGGGGAAAAAGGGAAAGATTTAACAGAGGGGCTGACAAAAGAAATTCAAGTAGGAAATTATGGATGTGGAATTTCTGTATGACGACTAGACATGATTACCTGCAAAGGCATTTGCTTTGGGTCGGAGTCATGGAAAGCAGTTGTCCTTTGTGCTGGTAAGATGAGATGTATGACCTGCACCTTCCTTTGTGCCCCACTGTCAGATGTTCACAGTAATCTTTCTGATGGGATGGGCACAGATATAAGCAATGGAATCAAGAAATTAGAAAATTCCATTATGGTGAAATTGTATTAGGCTGGCAGGAGCCGAACGACCTAATAAGCGGCAACAGCAGAGGCATTAAATAAAAAAAAACTCTTCAATTAATTTTATAGTAAACCAGAAAAAAGTCTCATCATGTTCAGTTAATAGAAGCTGTAATCAATAAGTCAAAGTATGTGATTGAAATGTTCAATTTTTAGAATAATTTTCAGGTATAAATGTTTCTCATACCCATCAACAAATTCATAGATCACAAAAACTAATGATAGATAACATAATATCAATTGTTTATTTTGAAAAATATTACTCATTAAATGATTTGAGGTGGCTAGGATGTTAATACAGTGTGTTTGCTATTTTTAAAAGGAAGTATTTCACTAATTATTATTGTTCGTTTCAATGCATAAAAAGTCTGTGATATTCTTTTCTGCTAGCTGTCTAACCTTCTTGACAAGTCAGCTTGTTTGATAAGGTCTCAATCTTTAGTAAGTATTCAGGCTTGCTTAACTCTTGAGAGAGCAAATAAATGTAAGTAGCTAATATATATAACAATCAAATAACCAGGGTACCTAAAACTAACAAATAAATCTTTCAATGATAAAAAGGGTATGGAAATAATTAAAATTTAAGGTAAGTAATGTTTATTGGATTTCCAAGCCAATCCAATGAACATTAGTCCCACATATGTGTGTAAATGTTGACTGTACTCCCCTCCCCCCTACCAACTTCTTAAAAAATAGAAACATATTTCCTTAGCTAAAGTAGTAGAATCTAAAAGTATAGAAAAAATGGATTCCTAAATAACTGAAAGGTGTTAGTAATGATTCCTAATAACCCTGGAGCCAGAGCCAAAAAACGGACCGCATCGCAGACGAAGGTTTGAATGTAAATTATGAAAGTGTATAACATTTTAATTAAAATGAGCTTTGTCTGCCATTCCAAAGCCGCTGCTTTAAAAAATGGCGGCAGTGCAAAGAGGACCGAATTTGCCGGAAATGGACCTCATCGCAGGCTAGATAAATCTTTCTACAATGAAGCGCCATTTTTGAACAGTGCCTTTTCTATGCCGTGGCAATCTTCTGGCAGAATTAAAAAATTGCAATTTTAGGTGTAAAAATTTATTTAAGTTAGGAGATTTGAAACTAAGCTATATAATGCTTATGTATTAACAGTTGAATAAAACCTTAGTCTGCCTATGATAGGCCGCAGTAATCTACTGGCAGACTCAAATTCAAAAATTTCAATTTTTGATGCAAAAATTGACTATAGTGAAGAGATTTGAAACTTCGCTATATGATACTTATATAGCATTTCCAAGTCAATTTCAACCTTTTCCAAGTCAAATTCAACCTTTTCCAAATCAAATTAAACTTTTTTCAAGTCAAATTCAACCTTTTACATTCAACCTTTTCCAAATCAAATTAAACATTTTCCAAGTCAAATTCAACCTTTTATATTTCAAATTAAACCTTTTCCATTTCAAATTCAACCTTTTTTTATTTATTTAATTATCTTTAATTTATCGATGTGTGGGTCTGTTATTGTATGAGTAGTTTTTCAAAATAACCTCCATTTTAAGATTACGTGACTGCGTTTCGAATTTTTTAAGTTTTTTGGTTAATTCGATGTAAGGGTGTATTTTTATGATTCTGGAGCTGTAGATTTTGAAAATGACCTCCATTTTAATGAAATTTTTTGCCCTAGAAAGGAGGTAAAGATGTTAAAAGTGCCCACTCCTTGGTGGTGAGCCAGATGTGGGGGAAGGACGGAGCGCCTACTATGTCACTTTTTTCGGGCTTTCCCTTACATCCGGAAAACTATCCATCGCATCGACGAAGACATTCTATGCAAAATTAAAGCTGATAAAATGTAGTGTTAATTGCTGTTTTTCGGGCTTTCGCTTATATCAGGAAAACTATCCATCGCATTGACAATGACATTTTATACAAAATTGTAGCTGTTATAATTTGCAATATGATTGATTATATACCTTTTCTTGCTACCTCGCTTAGTTTCCGAGATATCCGTCCTCAACTATCACTAATCTGGAGAAAAACTATTTTTACTGTATTTGACTGTCTAAAGAAGAAAGTTTAAAATAATTACATTTTCTATAATAATATATATTATTTGACTAAAAAACGTGAGGTAAGCTTTTTTTTCCCGCATTTGTGATAGTTGAGGACGGATATCTCGGAAAATGAGCGAGGTAGCGAAAAAAGATAATAACATATCATATTGCAACTTTTTTTCAGCTTTGATTTTGTATAGAATGTTTTTGTCGATGCGATGGATAGATTTCCTTATATTAAAACCTGGAAAACAGCAATAAACATGAGGTCATTTTTTTTTCTCTCAAAGTTAGCTATAGTTGAGGATCAGATATCTCGGAAACTAAGCTAGATAGTGAAAAAAGATATATAATTAATCATATTACAGATTTAGAAATGCTAGTTTTGTATTATTCTAAGTAAGTCACGTTAGCGATAACTAAAAATCTCAGTTTAAGTAGTTAGCAATTATTTTCCTGTAAACTAGACTAAAAATAGACTGTGAACTAGATTTAAAATAAAGTAGAGTTTGTCACTGTTAAAGCCATTTAAAGAGGAGTTTTGAGCAGTAAAAATTCAAAATAAAATTATCTAATTTACAGATGAAAACATTTAAAAATCATCTAATTATTTATAATGTTAATACATTTAAATCCTATCCAACTTGATGTGTCAAAAAAAAATTAAAATTAAAATCCGTATAACAATCAACTAACGACAACAGTACATAACCTAATACAATAAATTACAATTAACCTAAATCTGGAAGAGAAATTTGAAAAAAAAAAAATAGAAAATTGAAAGACAATTCACTAAACGAATACAAAAATATGACCATAATTAACCGACAAATAATTAAATATATTTGTTTAAATTTCGCTTAAATTGGTTAATTGACTGGCACATACAAGGAATTAAGTAATGTAGAAGATCTTAAAAAGATTAAAGGTATGAAGGTATATTTTAAAGGTTTTAATGTATATTTTATATATACCAGAACATTTGATTTCAGATATTTAATTTTAATTAAACTTTTCAATAATTTTTTCTAGGCATTTTTGCTGAAAATACAGGTATTTTAGGTGACAGGATATCAAACCACATAATTTATTTATACAACTTGAGATGAATCTTAATTATTATGGACTTAAAGCTAATTAAACAAGAATATTGCTTTGAAGATGAGGTATCTGTTGTATAGTTAGAGGATGATAAAAAAAAAATTTGAAGTAATTCATAATTTGAAAGAAAAAAAAAATAGAACTGAAGTGAGTTTTTCTCTTTTCTCCTCTATTTCCAAAAAATATTTTCACCGAAAAATTTTCTATTGGCTGAGCTTCCAGGTCCTAAAAGGGAATTTAGGGCAAAGCTCTGGACTTCCCCTCTAGTGCTTTGTAGTGCTCTCAAGTGGTTTTTCCATTTCCTTTGTAGTCTTGCCTGTAAATATATGTTATCTTTACAACGATGATTGACGCTCTTTTATTAGAGGAAACGGCTGGTAAAGTAAAAAATATGTCAAGCAAACCTAGTGCACCAGGTATCACGCGTATTGCCCAATTTTCTTCAATATTTCATATATTTGTTTCTTGGGAACTCCTTTTTTATTTAATTAATAGGTTAAAACTGATTTTAATAATTTACTTTAAATCTTACGAGTTTTAGCCAAAGATATTAAGACCGACCTTTTCTTAGTACGTTAATTGCGGTGTTGAACTCAATAAATAAATGCACTATTGTTCCAATAATGTGTACAAGGTTTTGTTTTGTTTTCCATTTCGTCAGTAGTCGTGCCATTTGTTGTATAATTTTTACTTCAAATAAATTGCTCTGCTGTATTCATGAGACATCATTCTTTTATCTACTATTTTCACATCCTGTACTCAAGTCAAATGGGTGGCTAAAGGGGCGTCGACTAGAAGTTATTTAACTTCAAGCTCAGTCTGTCATTACAAAACAACGGTCTTTTAATAACAGACTGCATTTTTATTTAACATCTAATATACCTATATCAAATAGTGAAATTTCAAACCTCCTAACTTTGGTAATTTTTTGCACCTAAAATTGTAATTTTTGAATTTAAGCCTGCCAGCAGATGGCTGCGTCCTAACATAGGCTGACTACATTTTTATTTAACAGCTAATATATAAGTATCATATTGCGAAGTTTCAAATCTCTTCACTATAGTCAATTTTTGCATCAAAAATTGCAATTTTGAATTTGAGTCTGCCCGTGAATTGCCACGGCCTATCATAGGCAGACTAAGTTTTTATTCAACTGTTAATATATAAGTGTTATATAGCTTAGTTTCAAATCTCCTAACTTAAATAAATGTTTACACCTAAGATTGCAATTTTTTAATTAGAGTCTGCCAGTAGATTGCCACGGCCTAAAGAAGGCAGACAAAGTTCTTTCTTCCTTTTATCACACACATTCATTGTAGTTATAATTTCAAGGTTCCTAATCTTGGTAAATTTATTACCCTAAAGTTGCAATTTTTTTAATTAATTCTGCCAATGGAAAGCAGCGGCACAGAAACAGCAGACTGCTCAAATTGTAGAAAGATTCATCTATCAAAGTTTCATCTACCCTGCTATGAGGTCCATTTCCGGAAAATTTGGTCCTCTTTGCATGGCCGCCATTTTTTAAAGCAGCGGCTTTGGAATGGCAGACAAAGCTTATTTTAATTAAAATGTTATAAACTTTCATAATTTATGTTCAAACCTTTGCCTGCGATGAGGTCCATTTTTTGTTCCTGGCTCCAGGGCTATAAGTCTACTTCAATCAAACGTAACCTTCAGTATTCTTCCTTCTATAAGCATGGTTTTGATGAATTACTTGATCATTAAATCATCTGACTACTAACTCAATATTCTGGTTTTTAATCAGGAGTATGTTATGGTGGGAAAAACAGTATTTAAAGGAAGCATTGCATTATTGTTATTGTAATAGGAACTGAAGAGGGAGGATCAGTTTAAAAAGAATTACAGTGTTGAAATTCATTAGATACATGCTCAACTTGGTTGCTTTATAGGTAGCCAATTATTATCAGATAAATTTATGAGTATCTTAATGATATTCACTTTTTCTCACATAAATATAGAATTATACATATGTTGCAAATTTATTGCATTTTTATTTTCTTCAGAATGGTAAAGTGACTGTTAATGATTTTTTGGACACCATGATGTCTGACCCAGGACCTCCTGTGATGGTTTGGCTTCCATTACTTCATAGAATGGCTTCAGTTGAAAATGGTAAGTTAAGGAAAGTAGTTGCAAAAACCATAATGTTTATTTAATAATTAAACTATACATTATTATTTAATATTTTACTTGTTTCAACATTTTGACTTGCATTGTAGATCTTTCCACGAAATCTAGATAAATTAAAAATTGTAATCTGTTGAAACTACAACAGTTGGATGGATGGTTGTTATCAAGTTGCTGGTCCTACGTTTTCTGATTTATAATGTTGGAGATATTGTTCACCTTTGATGAAATCTAGAAAACCATGGTTGAGGTTGCAATAAGAAATTATTTGTATTACAAGTTATGATTGTTATTCTTTTATCTCGTTTTCATGGCTCTCATAAAGACCTACAGTGTGGGACAAGCTGTTGTCAAACTAAAACTGTTAACAGTAGTTTACTATGTGTTTTAAGAACCTTTATTGTTATATAACATATGATTGAGGCAATAATCCATTTAGCTTCTCTATGCATTCTGTGACTTACTCTTGCTATATAATTGTATGACTAAAGACAATGAAGTATTTTTTGCTTGATAACTCAGATTATTTTTACATCCTTATATAGCTAGTGTAGTTTTGATTACCCTTTTACTCCATATGCCTTCCTATCTTATGGCTCTATAGATTCTTCTCATCATTTGCCTCTCAAATATTAGGAATTAATTTTCCTCATGCTTCTTGTTTATCCATGTTTAGTAGCATTAGTTACACTTGGGTCTTGATTTTGCTACCTAGCCTGCCATTCATAATCTTTTTTGGTAGCCTCTCATTTGGCATCCTATGAACACTTGGCCCAGCCATTGCAGCCTTCTTTCTTTGCGGATGATGGATGGCCACAATATTAGGCTCACCAAAGAGCTGTTCGTGCTCTCTATTTTTCTTATTTTTCATTGTCCATCCTTGTTTACTGTAGCATATTTCTCTCCCAAATCCTCATACTCATCTCACTCTCCTTAGTCATCACTCTGCACTCGCTTCCATATGTCACCATCGGTCTTATTATAGTCTTGTATTTAGTGATTTTTGCTGATCGAGACAATACTTGGAATTTAAGCTCCTTAATATGCCTGAAAAGGTATCTACTACCAGCTACTATTCTGATTTTGATCATTGCACTTATATCATTTTCTTCTGTTACTAGAGTTCCTAGATATTCCAAGCTCTTGCAGTGCTTGAATTTGTGCCTATTAATTTGCACTTCTTCTTCTCGACCTCCTTGAGTTCTAGATGTCCTCATTTACTCCATCTCAATTTCATTTATTTTCAAGCCTTTGCTCGCTGTTGCCGCTTCAAACTCTTCCAATGCTCCTAAAAGGGATGGTAATGTGCGCACTGTGATAGCTACATTGTCTGCATGCGCCATATGCTTGGTAAGGCCGTTATAAATATTTCCTCTGGAATTGATTTTAATTGCTCTAAGCGCCTTTTCGAGAGCCTGGTTGAATACTATGGGCGACAGTGGGTCAACTTGTCTCAGTCAGCCTGCCGAATGAAACTCTTCCGATAGGGCTGCACCAACTCTTACCTGAGACTTTGTTTTTTTCCTGTCATTTGAATCAACTTCACCAGCTTTTGCAGGATTGCTAGCGAACTGATATCCTTAGCCACCCTTTCCCTGTTTACCGAGTCGTATGCCTACTTGAAATCTATAAAAATGTGGTGCAGCCTAATGTTATGCTCATAACTATTTTCCAATGGCTTTCTTAATGTGAAGATTATGTCAGTTTTGGATCTTCCTTGTCTAAAGCCACATTGGTAATTACCAATCACCCTCTCAGTCCATCTCTGGTTAATCGCTATGGAGAGGATCTTGTACACAGACGACAGAAGCCCTATCCCATAATAGTTTTCGTATGCCATCCTGTCGCCTTTCTTATAAAGTGGGCAAAGGATAGCTTTGCTCCAGTCTCTCAACATAGTTTGCTGAATCCATATATCCCATATCAATTGCTATTCCTGGCTTCCCCTACCTGTCCTTCATATTTCAGAAATGCAGCCGGTGTCTTGTCAGTACCTGGGACGTTAAGCTTCTTCTGTGAAGAAATAATTTCCTCCTGATCTGGTGGTACTTCCTCTTCATCATCATCCTCTTGCTCCTCATTCTATTCTTCCTGCTGCCCTCCATTCTATCCAGGCTGCACATTTAGAGTTTTTCATGGCCATTTTAACCAATCGTTTGAGTTTTTCTATGAGGTAATTCTTTCTTACTATTACATTTTCTCTCTGCCAATCCTTGGCAGCATACGACTGCTGACCTAAAATAAACAAAAATATGTTGCATGTTCAGCTTATATTTAGCTTACATTTGAAATGTGGGCTTTGAAGCCTCAGAGAATTTTCAGAAAAACTTAAAACTAATAGAAATAATAAATAAAAAAAGTATAAGTTGTCTTTTAACTTCATGAATTATAAAAAAATTAAATAAAGGTGAAATAAACATATTTAAAACAGCTTATAATTTATATACATATTTACAATTTTATGGAGACTAAACTGATAGGAACTGATTAAATAGGCGAAACTTAAAGGTGGAGAGAGTATTGTAGTGACAGATGCAGGGAAAGATAGAATTCCATAGGGACAATATTCCATAGGATAATGAAAGATCTGCCGAAAGCAGCGGTTCGATGTGCCCTTATATACAAATCCGAAGACCAGGAACGGGTTTCATGGGAGTAGATAGAGGATTTGAATTGAAGGAGTTTGGAGACGTATGAAGGACAGTGATATTGGAAAAGGAAGGAAGCTAGGAAGTACGACGGTAGGGAGGATAAAGCCTCTTCAGTTCTTCTTAAAAAAGGGAGATAGAGGTGTCCCTTGGGATCCCAAAGATGAGTCTAACAAAGCAATTCATCAAACGTTTTAATTTGGTCTTTAGATCCCTAGAGACATCCCCATATACTGTAAATCAATAGTCCCAATACAAGTGGGGAAATGTTAAGGAAGTGATCAGGAGTTTATGGGCTTCAAATGGAAATAGGTGGCAGAGGTAATTTAGACTTTTAAAATGGAAAAAGGCATGGCGGGAAATATTGGATACGTGGTATTTCCAGGAAAGATTTTGATCAAAGCTTATTCCAAGGTTCTTAACGGTGGGATAAAATTTGATAGAATTATCATGTAGAAACAGGGTCAGGATTTTAGGAACAGTTGTAACGAGTTGATTAGAGCATATCAAAACTGCTTTAGTCTTCTCCGCATTCAACTTCAAATTGTTAGCTTCCACCCAGTCACAAAGTCTATTTAAGTCATCTTGAAGTTTTTTTGTGGCTGCTAATAGGTCAGAAGGGGGAAGAACAAAGAAGTATACGACATCTACAATGATCTGTCTTTGTCAAATTTCATATGAATAAGCTGGCTGAAATGATTTGCCCATGTCAACCGAATGAATGAAGACAGACAGGTGAAGAAAGTATACAAAGGGAAGATCTTCACCACTAGAGCAAAGGGCAGGCCAAGAGCTCGATGGAGGGAGAAGGTGAAAGAGGACATGAGACAGGCGGGCATCCGTGTGGTGGAGGACAGAGCCCTGTGGCAGCAGATGTTGAAGCAGGCCAAGGACCACTTCGGTCTGTGGCGCCAAGAGGAGAAGAAAAAGAAATATGGTATTGTGAGTGATGGATCAGGAGAAGAAGGGTATTAATGTAAGTAGTAAACAGAGTGTTGAGTGGCCAGGGCAAAAGTCAGATTGGAGAGGATTAATTAGAGAATGTTCTTGTTGGAAAGTTGATTTTCCAGCAGTTTTGAAAGGTTGGAAAGGAGAGAAATAGGACGAAAGTCGTGAAGTTTTATTAATAATGGACCCTTTTGTTGTACTAAACTGAAATGTTACAAAAACTTTATATATGATCGCACAATCTTATATCTAAAAGTGTTTTCATTATTGATAGTGCCCCCAACAACATTATAGTTGGGCCTTTATATTGATTAAATCGGATAAGTTACAAAAACTTAATGCGACGTAATCATAAATATGACAATATTTTCATAAAAAGTGCCCCTGACATCATAATGGTGGACCCTTATATTGAATTAATCTGTAAAGTTACTAAAACTTTATGCACAATCTTGCAATCCTATATCTGAAGGTATTTTCATTAATAGCACCACCACAACATTATAGTGGACCCTTATATTGAAGACATCCTAAAATTATTAATTTTAGGATGTCTTCAATATAACTATTAGTCTATTATTGTAAGAAGTGCCACCCTCTGCCTCAACATAACAATGGTACCTTATCGGGCGTAAGTTGTCTCTCACATGACAACACCAAAATGTTATACTTACAATATTGAAATTGTTGGGAATCAAATAAGGGAAATTGGATGGGAATCATTAAGAGTTGATGGGTTAGAAGTCTTCTTCAAGTAGCATTTTGAAGAGAATAAGCATTGCTGCTCTATTTAAATCTCCTTTCAGGTGTGTCCACCTTGAGGAGACATCGTTTATTTCCTTATTACTTCCTAGGAGCTCAGACACTCTCGAGACAAATCTTTGTCTTGTACCTACGTCCTTCTGCCATTCCAGATCTAAGTGAAGCACGGGCTCTTCTGCTCTTCCTTGGACCTTCAATGCAATGTTTTGCTTATATTTTATTTTGACTAGATATTGGTCTGATCCACACACTACTCCTTTACAGCTTTGGATGTCTTGAATATTTGTGGCATTTCTAGACTGAATCAAGACATGATCCCTTTGATCTCTCGACTTGCCATCTGGTGATATCCATGTTTCTTTATGGATATCTTTGTGCTGGAAGTTTGTGCTGCTCACCACCATGCTTCTCCCCATAGCAAAATCCACTAACCTAAACCCTTTATTATTAGTTTCCTCGTGTTTGCTGTTCATCCCTATCGTGGGTCTGAAGTATTCTTCTTTGCCTATCTTCGTGTTGAAGACTCCAGGATAAGTTTCACATCGTTGGTGGGTAAAGCATCGTACGTTCTTCCTAGAGCGGTATAAAATGCATCCTTCGTTTCATCATCCACATCTTCAGTAGGGG